TTGCCCCTTGGACTTTTAACTGGAACAGATTCAAACATGTGACAGCGGCCATCTTAAATTGTCCAGTGGTGTTTTGTCGTCGAGTGTATGGAACTGTTTTGGGATTGGGACCATGTGCACGGTGGGGCAAAAATAAGACTTCCAGGAAATTCCTGAACCGATCTGGGTGATTTTTGGATATGTTATTCACCCAGATCGGGGCTATCAGAGGATATGTTGTATTTTGGGGTACTTTTTGGGGTTTCTTACAGGGAGGGGAGACAACCGGTCTCACTCCCAAGCAGCAGCACGCAACCCAGGGAGAGGAGAGTTTTGTCTTCCATCTCCAGCAGCCAAGTGTGTTATTATGAGAGGAGACGGTCGGTCTCACTGCCCAGCGGCAGAGTGTATCATTGGGAGAGGAGATGGTCAGTCTCTCTCCCCAGCGGCAGACAGTGTTACAAGGTGTAGAGACAGTCAGCCGAGAGTGTTACACGGAGCAGAGACGACCGGTCTCACTCCCCAGTGGCAGTGTATCCTACTGGGAGTGGAGACAATCGGTCCCACTCCCCAGCAGCAGTGTACAATACAGCTAGAAGAGTGTGTCGTACCCCCTCCTCAGCGGACAAGTGTATTATTGGGAGAGGAGATGGGTCGTCCCTCTCCCCAGTGGCCGAGTGTGTTACAGGGAGTGGAGACAACCGGTCTCACTCCCCAGCGGCAGTGTATCCTACTGGGAGTAGAGACAATCGGTCCCACTCCCCAGCAGCAGTGTACAATACAGGTAGCAGAGTGTGTCGTACCCCCTCCTCAGCGGACAAGTGTATTATTGGGAGAGGAGATGGGTGGTCCCTCTCCCCAGCGGACGAGTGTGTTACAGGGAGTGGAGACAACCGGTCTCACTCCCCAGCGGCAGTTTGTATTCCAGGGAGAGAATGGTGTTGCCCTTCCTCCACAGCAGCAGAGTGTATTATTGGGAGAGGAGAGGGTCGATCTCTTTCCCCAGCGGCAGTGTGTGTTACAGGGAGTGTAGACGGTCGGTCCCACTCCCCAGCAGCTGGGGCTGTCATCCATAGACAAGCCCCCTAGCATGGATGATGCAGATGGGACCAAGGTCTCTGCACCAGCCCTACGGGGATGCTGGGCAGCCTACCCAGATCCCCAACAGCACCTTCACTACCGTGGTCCAGGTGCAGGAGAATGAACTCTACTGATCCCCTTCCAGCAGAAGAGCTGGCATCTGGGCAGAGCACAGCTGGCCTCTGCCCTACCTACCCCTTTGTTCTGGGGCCAACTAAGCTGAACCGATGCACGGATGCACCAGGCACGGATGAGGAAAATTGCACCCTCCTTTCACGTATTCATCCGCATATAAAAATGTCATTAATGACATTTACTGTTCTGACAGGAAATATTGTGCCGAGCAGCAATCAATCCACAGGGGGGTTTGTGCTGAGCAGCAATCATGCAAATAGGAACCTTGTAACTGCCTTTGGGGTCAAAGGCCGGTTACAACCAATCAGATCTATAGGAGGGGTATTTAGGCCCAGTTCTCCTCTTGCTCTGTGCCCTGTCATGGTTTCCCTTGTGGTTGTGCGAGAGCGCATTATTGATTCTGGTAATTCTGGTTATTTGACTTTGGCATTGTTTTTGACTTCCCTGTTTTCTGGCATCCCTGACCCCTGGCTTTTCCCTATCGTTGTTTCTCTTTCTGTTTCCCTTGACCTCGGCTATTTCTGACTATTCTTTGGTACGTTAGTCCAGCCATTCTAAGATCTGGTATACGTTACCTATCAGTCCTCTGTGTTACACAATTCTACGTGCTGGATCATACTGTAATCCTGACACCTCCATCCCCAGCGAGTACTTGGTACAACGAGGGGGAAGTGCATCCAGGTTGTTTCCCCGCAGGACACTGGACTTACAAATGGGCACTTGTGGCAGGAGGCCGTCTGGACAACTACGCCTTTTGGGAAAGGCCACCAGACTATCACAGACACAGCATGATTGGAGGTCTGGGGTCTGGATAGTCTCCCTGGAAGGGGGAAGATATGTGACAAACTCCCCTCTCCAAGTGAGTTTGCTGCGAGCTTCTGGAGGAGCCTGTTACCTTTCTCCAGTGCCGGGCTCCCTCGGCGCTGGGGACTCTCCTTCTCCTTCTGACGTCATTGGCTGAATGCGCATGCGCGGCAAGAGCCGCACGCGCATTCAGTCAGTCCATAGGAAAACATTTCTCAATGCTTTCCTATGGATGCTGGCGTCTTCTCATTGTGAAAATCACAGTGAGAAGCGCCTTAGCGCTTCTAGCGGCTGTCAGTGAGACAGCCACTAGAGGCTGGATTAACCCATAGGTAAACATAGCAGTTTACAGCAGGCAGGGTTAACCCTAGATGGACCTGGCACCCAGACCACTTCATTAAGCTGAAGTGGTCTGGGTGCCTATAGTGGTCCTTTAAATTTACCATCAGTGTTTTGTCGTCGAGTGTATGGAACTGTTTTGGGCATAGGACCATGTGCACAGTGGGGCAAAAATAAGACTTCCAGGAAATTCCTGAGCCCTGAACCGATCTGGGTGATTTTTGGATATGTTGTTCACCCAGATCGGGGATATCAGGGTATGTGATGTATTTGGTGTACTTTTTGGGGTTTGTAAAAATTTATGGTTTTTCTGTTTAGAGTTAATTGAGTTAATTAGCCCATTGTCTTTGTTAATTGTATAACAG